AGAAAATCAACAGGACCTGAACACTGTCCACTGTCTTAATACATACGCACTGCGGCGAGTGCAGAAACAGAGAGCTGGACTCGAATTTAATGCTAAATTTATTATTGCTGATATCTTATGAGTTATTGCCATTTGCAATTAGAACGTCCAAGTCACGAATCGGAGCCTAGAACAGACTCCAGAAAACCTACATGTAAATCTCTTTCCTGTAGAAACTTGGTCAATGGTAAGAGGTTATCGCAATTTATTGCCTCTCTCTTGGTTTTAAAAATATAACCTATTTCGCTCCCCCCCCCCTTTATTTCTGTTCCTTTTTTCCTCGTTCGTAAGGAATCCGTTCCGGTTGGAAGCCCGGATTCCCTGACAGTCACTAGTGGCTGGCTCTGGGGACTAGGTGTCGTCAGGCTGAAGTTCACCGCTTGAACCTGCACGACCACTGTACTGATGGAAGCCAAGTGGCCACGTGTCGCCAGTGGCCGGAGAAATCCCAAGCTGGCCCACAAGGCAGTGGTTAGGGAAGAGGAAGGTCAAGGGGACTGGTGAACTGGGACCTAGCGGCCCTTTCTCACAGGCCTCTCAACGGCTCCACCAGTCCCGTGGATCCAGTGTCCAGGGCTTCAGGCCGCGGGGCCCGGGCCCTGTCCCTTCAGCTCTTCCAGGGACGACCTCGGTGTCTCTCCTCCCCATCTGGTGGAGTTACACACTGGCCCTCGAGTCCCGAAGCGGCAGAGCTGCTGCCTGTACACCAGAATGTGACAAAAACAGCCTTTGGAGGCCCCTGTCCTAGAAAACCAGTGTTCTGGGCTATTAAATGTAAGTGAGGGTTTCAAGAACCACGTCTGATCCGGCCTATTCAGGTAACCAAGAGTTTGTGCTTTGGGAAGAAAACAGAGCGATAAACACTCACGAGGCTTCTGCAAGCCCTGCCCTCTAGAAACCGACTTCATTCATTCTCACTTAGTGTTTAATTCAGCGTCTAGGGTCAGCAGTGCCGTCTGGTTACGACCTACTCCTGTGTTTCCTCAACCAGTTGCAGATAACACACACTTCTCACGATTTATAAATGACTCTGGGGGAAAAAAATCAATCTGAATTGCAAGTTAATATGTTTGTGAAGCTCAGGCGAGCCGGGTGTCTGCCTGCCCCCCGCGGCGGGGCCCCCAGCACCCCGGCGAGGAGCCCCGTCAGGAGGCCAGGATGCTCCTCCTGATGATGTCCGCCCTCCTGCCGAGGGGGCTGCCGGCCTGGACGCACGTCTGCTGCGAGGCCTCGGTCTCCGAGTCGCTCATCTCCACGTCGGGGGCGTACCCGTCGTTCTCCTGGTCAGACTGCAACTTGCTCTTCGCCCTGTCCTTGGCTGGGGCGCGGCCGAGGCCCAGGTAGGGGTAGTCCGAGTGCTGGTGGCAGGCGCCCTCCTGGGCCTCGCCCTGCGGCTGCCGCTCCCCCTTCTTTGGAATCCGGAATCCCCCCCAGTTCTTCACTGGGCTGGCAGGTGTGGTAGGCACTTTGGCTGCAGTCTGGCTGTAGTTCCCTCGGACCAGGGAGCCGTTGCACCTGGGCACCACCTCCTTCCTGGCGCCCGGGGCCGGGGCAGCCCTCGGGGCGTCCAGGTGCCGCTGGGACACGTCTGTGGACCTGAGAGGCTTGTGACTCTGTCTGAAAGGTCTGTCCTTCCCATCTCCCTTGCTGAGGTCACAATGAAAGCGGTGGTCTCTCCTGCTCCCGGGGTCCGGCGTCATCGCCCCGTTCTTCTGTTGTGCGGACAGGAGACGCGCTTCTGCAAAGGTCTTTTCAAAAGCGAGAAAGCTGCCGGGGCCCCCCGGGCCGGCCCGGCGCCCACACAGGTCCGGCCGGCGGAGCAGCGCCTTCCCGTGGCGGCCCGCGCGGCCCTGCAGCAGGGCTCGCTGGTGGGGCTTCTTCAGGGAGCGGGCCAGCGAGGTGCCCATCTGCTTCCTGAAGAACGCGGAGTGCCACTTCAGGTCCTCGATCTGGGGGGTGTCGGGGCCCACCGAAGGGCTGTTGAACAAAAGCATGCTTTCCAGGGAGGAGGAGCCGGAAGAAGGCACACCTGCAACATCAGAGCACAGAGAGGGTTACCGCGGGAGCGACCGCAGGCAGCCCGTCCCGGCCGGCCAGGCCCCGTGGCGCAGCCGCCCGCAGGGCCCACGCCGCCCACTGCCCGGGGCGCGACGTCCCGGGACGCTCCGCCCGAGAGGCGGCCCCCGCGCCGCGCACCACGTGCTGTGCCACGTCCGCTGACACGGCTGCGGTCGCATCTTCCCAGGGGCGTACCTCCCACACCACTGCCGATCGGGCTTTCAAAGGGGGTCCGCGCAGCACCGGCCTCCAGGCGCCCTCCGCCTGGCTGCGGACAGCGGTGCCGGTCACCGCGGTCACCCCGTCACCCCCAGCCAGACGCGGCGGAGGCCTGTGCCCTCGCGGGGTACCCGCAGATGAACACGTGTAACTGAGCGCAGACACACAGTGAATGTTTTAAAAAACAATGTTTACTATTAGATGTAAAACCCATTTGTGCAATTAAACTGAAAACGTCACCCAACATGAGAGTAGGTTTTCGAACACCCTTGAGGCCAATCCCAGTGAGAACGGACTCTCGGGCCACCGAAGCTCACCCTCCCGGCGCTTGGCCGTCCCGTGGGGACGTCTTCCCTTCCCCTGTTCTGGGGGGACGGGCCACCCTTCACCCACAGGCCCTACAGCACCGCTGAGTCCCCTACAGCCAGGCCTCGGCGCTCGGGTCCGGCTCCGGTGGGTGTGACCCCCCAGGAAGACGGGATCCCCGAGCCCCAGGCCGGCCGGGCGGGAACCGACCACCGGGGTGCAGAGCGGCTGCGCGGCCCCGTCCCCAGCCAGGCGGTGTTTTCTAACCTGCGGGCTTAGAAATGCGCTTTCCCGACACCCCAACGCTAGGTCATCAGCCACGCGTGTTTTTCTCCCCTGCTGTGGGGAAGCAGCCAGACGGGTGGACGTTTCCCAACTCTCACTGCTCCCCACTTGACCTGCGACCTGTGTCTCTGGAGTCTGACCTCCCACAGCAGCGTCTCCACTGGGGACACCCACCCAGCCAGCGCCCCGCCCTCCTGAGTCCCCGCGGAGCGCAGACCAGGCCCCCGAAGGGCCCGCCTGTCAGGGCGTCCGCGCTGCCCCCCTGGGGTCATCTGTCTTACAGGACAGGGGACGGACGGGCCTGAGCACCCTCCAGGGTGGGCGCTGCCCGGCTGAGCCTCCCACGGGGTCGCCCGCTGCCCTGGCCCGGCACCCGGTGGGCCCGCATCCGGCGGGAAGGGCGGATCGGTTTTCCTTTTCTGAAGATCAGCAGACTGCTGGGAGGGAGCCTGCGGGTGTCACACCCTCGCCTGGCTCAGAGTCGCAACCACTGACCCAAAGAACCTCAGCCAGGAAATGCAGAGCTGCCTGCAACGTCCATGCAGAGTAGTGAAACCCCAGCAAGTGACTCTCACGCTCGTCTTCACAGGTGATGAGTCATCACAGAACTCAGCCAGAGGCACAAACTCCAGCCTACACCCCCGGGGTACAGCCCCCAGCCCAGGGCACAGCCCCCAGCCCCGGGCACAGCCAGGGTGGGGGGGACCAGCTCCTTCTGGGCTGAGGGTCTGCCCACCTTCCCCACACCCCAAGCTTAAAATATGTCCAAATAATCAATGGATTCTTTCAAGAATCTGAATGGAACTGCTTTGACTTACGACACCCTACTTAGAAGAATTTATCGTAAAAGTTCCACAAATAAATTCTAATAAGCTTGATACAGCCAGAAAAATACTTCCTCTTGAGAAAAATATATATAATATCATTCATAAATTAATGCCACTGAAACTATGTATCTCTTCAAGAATGTCACTGAGACTCCCTAGACTTTTCTTCCGTGTGCCATCGATCCATTCACAGCAAGTCCCCACTCCACGTCCACGGGCCCTGCGACCTGACGTGAAACACGTAACAACAGTGCAGCAGCGGCGCCGGACACGGACAGGGCGGAGTTCCCACAGAATCTCCTGTTATGAGGAGCTGACACTGAGCCAAGTGACGCGACGTGAGGACCTGCTGCACCTCTGGTCACGTGTCTGGTTAGTCTCAGGTAAACCAGGATCTGGATTTGAGCACAATAGGGGAGTAACAGCTTCCCCGTTTCCGTGTGTCCTAACAGTCGGCAGCACACAAAGCAGCAGAGGGGCAGCCGGGACAGCACAGCGCCCCGCATCCCACGTTGGGCTGTGACGTCAGAGGGCACACGGATGCAGAGACAAGCTCTCCCAAGACCTGCCTGTTCCACGAGGCCATGCTTCTGCCTGACCCAACTCGACACATCTCTGAAATCCTTCTAACCCTGCTCTTGGGCACTGGTGCTGAAGGCAAGCCCGGTTCCCACCCAACCTCTTCCACACACCAGCAGCGTCCCAGGAGGGCACAGTGTGCCCAGCTGCGAGTCGATCTATCTGCACGTCAGTGCCGTGCTGTGGGCTTTTCCTCTTTGCCCAGAGCAGCGTGGAAGGGAAGGCACTAGATACACAGGTACTTGGTGCCGAACCTCCAGAAGATTCAAAATTGCACCTGCTCCAAAAAGTCCATGCGAATGTCACCTAAACACAGGCGTGTGCGCAGGTACAGTCTTAGGACATGTTTACCACCCGCTACAGGAAGACGCAAGGCGAGACAGCCCACGAGTCTGTTTGGGTTGCCCACGGTGCTGACGTGTAAAAAGCGTGTTACAGTGGGAAGCTGCTCTCTCGTTGAGCCTCACAAACACCAGGCTCAAGTTACACAAGGCAATGGGGCGACTTGGAAAACCTGAGACCTGCTTGTGTTTGGCCTGAAAGTAAAGGATCAAGGATTCGACCCATATTTGAGGCCAAATCCTTAGACTTTCCCCTCTACCACGAAGCCTCAAATGCTCAAAGATTTTCCTTAAAAGTGAAAGTCTGTGCTTCTCGGTTCTTCTGCAGGAAAGATAGGGAATCACGGGCACTAGTCTGTCCTCAGCGGAGCGCTAGGCGTGCGAGCCGCCGCCCTGCTGTTGGACCCGTGAGGGCTGATCGCATACCTGAGACTCTTTCTTGCTCCAAGAGCTTAGTGTAAAGATTGAATATCTGTTCCTGGACTTTGCACACAGATCGCTTAATCTTTTCCCTGCGGGTCACCATGTAAGTGAGGTTCCGAACCTAGAATGTAGAGAATAAAGATTCTAAGTAAACATTGCATTGTAACAGTACTTTGGTGCTTTTTTTTTTCTTTACCTGAGAGAAAACTGTCCTACTAGGGCTTTGAGTGACATATGAAATCAAAATGTACTTTAACCACGTCCAATCTCTAATCTCCTTCGGGCTAACCCTCCAAGTGGGCAGCAAGGCGGCACAGCTGGGTCGAGGGAGGCGCACCTGCGGAATCCCCCAAAGCCCCGCCTCCGCAGGCTGGTCCCAGCCAAGAGCAGAGGGCCGGAGGCCCAGTCCAGACCCGCTACTACGTCTCTCCAAAGGGTCTTCCCCCATGAGCTGTAGGGTGAAAGGCTTTAGAGAGAGGTCCCCCCCTCCGCTGCACTTGATCAAGCACCTTCTGAAGAAGGAGCTAGGTAAACACAGGGTCAAGGGCCACCAGAAGAGGAGCCCCCACACAAAAAAACACTGTCCCTGCTCAGGGCCCACCAGGAGACCCAATGGTCACCAAGAATCCAAGCAAACGCCTCGGTCACTGGACACGAAACTGCCTGGAGCCAGCAGGCGGCGGACGCTGGACAGAGCCGGAGTCCAGGGATCGTCCTCGCCTGGCAACGCCAGCACCCAGTCGGCTCTGAGCCACCACATGGAAGACGGACACTACCCTCCCCCTGGCTCGTGTGTAAGTGAACGAAGACCAAAGGGCTAACGGTTCCACTTGGCATCTGCTGGGCGGCCCCCGGGGACCCCAGGCTCAAGACTAAGTAATCGACACAAACCCGTTCCCCGATCTGAGAGCCCCTGGGAGCAGGCAGCACAGAAACATGGAAAGGATCCGCCCATAGACACCCTCAAGTCCTTCAGTCCCACAACCTACTGGTAAACCTGACTCGATTCCAAACACAAACGTCAAACCACAAGAGCAGACAGGCAATTCGACCTCCTACAGGAGGTGGACAAGACCTCCCAGATCCACGGGGCAGCAGCAGTTAATGTCACCCGTGTTACCCATCAGCTCCCAAAAAACAGTTTCCTTCTGAGCAGTTGGTCCCTCGCTGCCTGCCGTGAAGAAAAGACCCCAAGGTCCCGACCTTTCCCTGCGGCAGTGAGGAGGGCGAGCCTTGCAGACTGCGGTCCTGCGGACGCCTCCTCCCACATCAGCCGGCTCTGCGCCCGAACAGCTCCGGTGGGGTTCAAGGCAAGAGGACAGGAGGCACCTGAAGGAGCAGCTCGCTGGCCCCGGCATTTACACCCATGTGCCATTTGGTCAGTGTCTTCCTAACACTTCCCTTCTTGATTAAAAACGAGAATCTATCTTAAAGACCCGAGAAGGGAATCTGTCTCCCCGTCTGAGTACATCTTTCGGTGGCATTCACCCCTTCGAGACTTTGTCTCACAGCGTCAGACGCCCAGGCCAGCAAGCAGGTGTCCTTCGTGAAAATCCCAACCCGCTGGGGACAGAGGCGGCGAACAGGCTGTTCTCCTTCGTCAGCACTGCTCCACCCAGGGCGGTTAGTGCGGAAGCTCAGAGAGGGAAGGGTAAGACCTAGACGGGTATCACAGACCCAGAACTTCGGGAAACAAACAGGACAAGGAATCGGACCTCTGCAAACGGGAAGTGAGAACAAGTTCTGAGCCCTGGGAGTGGACAAGTCACTCTCCTGTTCAAGGCGGATGTCCAGCAGAGACACTGACATCTTACTGGAAATCACCCCCACAAATAGACAACGGGGCTCCAGGGACCTGAACCTTGTATATTCTAATTTAATCCCCGTGGCTTCACCCACTTCCACCAGGTAAGGCTTCCTCCCACCTGGCCAACTGGGGAATCCCCACAGCCTCTGATGAGAAGCATCCACTATAACCCCAGAAAGCAAAGGCCGGGGTTCACTTCCAGTGGGAATGCATCAGCCCCTGAAGAAGCCAGGCCCGGCTGGCCCTTGGCATGGTGAGCACCCTCAGCCGTACCTCCCGTGCCCACACCCCTCACGGACCACGTGCACCGGCAGCCCGGTGTGGAGCCGAACACGGCTGTTCTGAAAACAGACTCGGCCTGGCCCTCCCTGCACACTGCCCGAGGCGGTACCCCGAAACACCAGCTCATGGGTGCACTCACGGCATGTGAAACCTGAGTCAGGTTTTCATCAAAGGCAGTGTTTCCTAGCCCTGACCGGGTAGCTCAGTGGGTTAGAGCGTCATCCCGCTACACCGAGGTTGCCGGCTGGATCCCTGGTCAGGGCACACACAGGAATCAACCAAGGAATGCATAAATAAGTGGAACAAATGGCTGTTTGTCTCTCCCTTTCTCTGAAGTCAATAAATTTTGTTTTAAAGCAGTGTTTTCCTGCAACAGAATGCTGGCCCCTCCACCCAGTTTCTGGAGTCAGTAGGGTCCAAAAATTTGCCTTTGTATTAAGTTTCCAGGTCATGTTGCTGCTGGTTAGGAACTGCACCGCGAAAACCACTGCGCTCAAGCACCCAAGCACGCTTTCGGGGGCTTTCCCGAACCCGAGCACCGCTCGCCACACTAAAGCTCAGCGTGCCTTTTGTTCAGGACAACCAGGTGCCGAGTGTCCGTTCCACGGGGCACTGAGTAGGGCAGGCCCCCAGGACCCCTCGCCTGGGTGCGGAGGCAGCGTGCCTATCTGAGCTGCTCACTGCCTCTCAGCGGAGAACGCTGGGGGAGGGGGACCCCAGCAGAGGCGAGGTGTCGGGAGCCTGACATGACCACCCCCCGCTCTTCAGCAACCAGCTCTTCTCAGAGGTGTGGGTTCTCAGCCCCCCTGAAGCCTTGCCTGTCCTGTGCCTTCCTGACCAGCCCTGGCACCTGGTGTGCTGTGCCCCCCGCTGTGTCCACAGGAAAGGGCAGCTCCCGGCACCACCCATCAGCTGTTTGCATTTCTAACGAAGGCTGCTCATAGGTCAGTTCGGGGCTGCCCGCGGGCCTCGATGACTGTCCCAGGTGGAAACTGATTCTGTGCACCTGCTACCAAGTGCCACTGTGTGAACTGGGCAGAACAAAGACAGCACTGACTGAGGATTTGTTCTGTCACCCCTGCCCTGAGGAGCCTTTGGCCTGATACCCTTCTTGGTTATAACTTCAAAGAACTGTGCCGCTCTCTGGAGCATGGGGAAGGTTTCCGCTTTTAGAGCCTCCACCATCATAGGCCTCAGGGCAAGTTTTGGAAAATATATTCTTCATTATTATAAGCCCATCTGAAATGGACACTAAATGCCCTAGAATCTCAGGCTCTTTATTAAAGGAAATGTAAGTAATGCCACACACACACACAGAAATCCTGATTTATTCCCTGTTTCTCATACATATTTGGCATCATTCTACTTAAACAGCAACAGTGATGACTCCAAAAGAATGTCCAGAATGTAATTGTAAGTGCATGTTAATCTGAGTAACTTAAGCACAGAAAAGAGTTAGTACACCACAGGCATTTTCTACACTTTTATTTTGTGGTGATTGAGACAAACACAGTCCAAACATTAGACTTCTCGCCCTCCCCCAGGACTATCTGACTCAGCCCACCATCCCGGTACAGCGGTTGTGACAGACGGCTTCTCGCCAGGATTCCTTTATCCTTCTTAATCCCTGTCTCACCTCTTAACCAGCCACACCCAGGCGGTTTGGGAGGGGAGGTCTTCTTCACACTCACCACCAGGGGGGGTGTGAGAGCCTCCCAGCCCTCCCCCGCGGGCTCGCGGGCATCTATTCCTGACCTGGTCCTGCAGGGGTCACAACAAGCGCTGGCCCTGGTGAACACCTAGAGACACCTTCACTCTACACCACCTCCAGCAGGGCCATCAGGTCTCCGTGGGGTCTGGTGTTTTGGTTCAATACTTCACTTTACCCCTATCCTCTGCCTACACTCTCGGTCCACATCGGCTGGGAGCCAGTCACCCCCAGGCAGGTGAGCCCTCCCTGCAGGAGCTGCGTTCACTGCTTCAGGCCGAGCGCAGTCCAGCACCTGTGTGCTAATGGATGTGATCAGCCCGGGACTGGCCACCATCCCCAATTAGCAAGCCTCAGTCAGAAACTCCGGCAGGGAGCAGGAGGCCCTGGGGGAAGACAGCCCACTCCTAACTGTGCCTGTGGCAGGAGGAAGTCCACCTGGGACTCCACGGTAACCAGTAACCGTGGGGGAGGCACAGAGCCGCAGCTGCAGGGCATGGCAGGGAGTGGCAGGGACGCCGGACAGTCCACAGCTGCCACACCCAGCATCGCAGCGGGACAGTGTGTTCAGAGCAGGACTGGGACCCCCACACCCGCACAGCAACACACCACAGACATGTGGACACAGACACACACACGCACACGTGATATATACAGAGCCTCAGGGATGACTTAGCACCTCACCGCCAGGAGGACCTCTGGGACAGACACATGTGTGAAGTGCGCACACACACGCCAGCCCCCACAGCCTGCCCTGCTCCACGACAGCACTGGGAGCCCGTGAGTCAGCCAGGACAGGCAGGGCCCTGCACAGCTCTCCTTACGGAGCCCACCACCAGCACCCGCACCCGGTGAGAGCCCAGCACCTGGTGAGAGCCCAGCACCAGGACCCGGTGAGAGCCCAGCACCAGGACCCGGTGAGAGCCCAGCACCAGCACCCGGTGAGAGCCCAGCACCAGGACCTGGTTAGAGCCCAGCACCAGCACCCAGTGAGAGCCCAGCACCCGGTGAGAGCCCAGCACCAGGACCCGGTGAGAGCCCAGCACCAGCACCCGGTGAGGGCCCAGCACCAGGATCCAGTAAAAGCCCAACACCTGGTGAGAGCCCAGCACCAAGACCCGGTGAGGGCCCAGCACCAGGATCCGGTAAAAGCCCAACACCTGGTGAGAGCCCAGCACCAGCACCTGGTAGGAGCCCAGCACCTGGTGAGAGCCCAGCACCAGCACCTGGTAGGAGCCCAGCACCTGGTGAGAGCCCAGCACCAGCACCTGGTAGGAGCCCAGCACCTGGTGAGAGCCCAGCACCAGCACCTGGTAGGAGCCCAGCACCTGGTGAGAGCCCAGCACCAGCACCTGGTAAGAGCCCAGCACCAGCACCTGGTGAGAGCCCAGCACCTGGTGAGAGCACTAGGTTGAACAAGAGATCTTCCCACCCCACCATTAGACAAATTTATCCTGGTTTTCTAACTCTGTTTGTAAACAATTCTGGGCCAATACCTTGGTCATTTTCGCAGGGCTCAGTTCCCTCTAGCTCTAGAATGAAGGGGGGAGACACCCCCACTGGATCTTGCTGAACAATAGGGATTAATGGGGAAGTATTTAAAAATAAATCACAGGGAAGCCCCCATCCTGTGGAGTCTGGCACATCTGTACGCGTCCCCCAGCCCGTGGACAGTGAACCGACACAACCTCATGCTGCGTATGTACAGGGTCTGACAGAGCGACTGGCCGCCACGCTGGCTCGGGGCAAGCGGTGGCCTCTGCGCAATCCTCTGCGCTAGGTCACTACAAGGTGTCAGTGTCAATCATTACCCTCTCCAGGTCCTGCCGCAGGTGCGTGAACAGCTGCAGCCTCCTAAACAAGACATCCTGCTCCCGCTTCGCTAGATTGTCCTCTTCGTCTTTCTTTGGAGTGATCAGGGGCTTGTTGAAGTTGACCTTCCTCTTCAACTTCCAGTACTGGTACAGGAAGTCCACCACCTCCTCGGGCAGCCGCAGGGCCCTGGCGACATCCAGCAGGTTGACGAAGGTGTAGAACTCGTCTTCCAGCTGCTGCAGCTTCTGCTTCCGGACACTCACCCGGTGGGCCTCCTCCTGCTTCTGCTCCAGGCTGGCAAAGGGCTCCAGCGGGTTCCGGGGGGAGCGCTCGGGGGCCCCGTTCTCCTGAGCAGCCCCCTCCCCGAGGCCCTCCTCGGCTTTCCTGTGGGAGCTGTGCTTCGGGCAGTAGGACTTGAACTTGACTTCATCGTTCTCTGCCAAGATGGTCTTCATCTCCAGGCCCCGGTCGAAGGCACAGGTCACGTGGAAGGCCGTGCGGCAGTTCTTCACGGAGCACTGGTGAGGACGCGGGGAACAAGAGGAAAGACGGTTATGCGGGACAGTGGCCGAGCCCTCGGCGCCAGGCCCCCCGACACGTGCGCAGACTTCGCAGGACCGGGCCTCACGGGACCAACCCTGGCGACTAACCCACCACGTTGCACATGAGGGCAGGCTCGGGAGTTCAGGACCCTCTTCAGATGGACATTTCGTAACCAGCCGACCCCTCAGACGAGGACCGCAGCCCCTGGCCTCTTCCAGAGACACAGCCACGCTGACAGCTGTGCCCAAACCCACGCTGCACTGGGAGCAGGGACCCGGATTTCTACAGATCTGCGCTCAGGTCCACCTCAAAGGCTGGGATGGCGGAGTCTCTTCGGGAAGGGTGACAGCTAATGGGAGTTTGCACGGGGGCCGGGACCACCGCTCTACCAGCCAGGCAGAGCCCGGCACAGGCGGGCGTGGTGGCTCCTTCCCTCCAAGGCCACAGCTCAGGTGAGGACGGTGAGTCCAAATCCCGAAGGGCTGGAGGAAAGGAGAATCCAGCCCAGGAAGGAGGGGACAGGTCTCCACGCCCATGAGGAAGCCTCGCCGATGCTCCCGGGGCAGGGAGGTGGCCCTGAGCCCACCGGGCGGTGCTGGCTAGCTGAGAGGGACCGACCCCCGCCCTCGGGTCAGGAGGTCGAGGTGGCCTGGGCCAGGCATCCTGGCGTGCCTCCCTCCCTCCCTGCTGAGCACCCCCCTCAGTGCCTCACTGGGGTACATTTCAGAGGCCTGGCAGGACAGTGGTTAACTCCTCCCACCTGCTCCCACTGGGTGAGGCCCTGGGAGAAGTCCCTGTGGGGACTCAAGCCAGTGAGGCCTGGCGCCCCAGGGCACAGAACCCAGGGCCCAAGCCCACCAAACACTTCAAACTCGTTCAACAACCCGAATCCACAACCACAGAGGGCAGAGGCTGGAGTCGGGGCTGTCCGCCAAGTCACTTCAGTATTTAACAGGTCCTGACTCACTGCGTCAGGATTTCTTCTGATTATCAAGTGTCTTTTACACAAAAAGTATGAAAAATCCAGCTCCCTTCACCATTCCCTCATCACTGACATTGAAAGCACATGAACTAAGAGAAAGCTAATTTTACCTATAAATAGCCTCAATTCCCAGGAGCGTGTGAATGGGCTTGTGTGGCACCGCACACGCACACCGGGCCGAGCGGGGCCTGGAGGGGGGCCTGGAGGGGGGCCTGGAGCAGGGCCTGGGGCGGGGCCTGGGGCGGGGGCGGGGCCTGGGGCGGGGCCTGGGACGAGCGGCCTGTGTCCGGCGCCCCTGCACTTCCCCCGGCCCGGCTCCAGGAGCGCACTGCAGTGCAGTATTTACACAGGACTTTGTAAGGACGCCAAGTGGCCTTCCTCTGGGCTTTCCGATTCAGGTTGACTCAGCAAACAGATGTTACAGAAACGTCCACCAGAGCCTTCACAGCTGCAGACATTTCACAGATAAATGCTTTAATAAAATCAGTCCGCGCTGTGCAGATATGGAAAATCATCAGCCTTCCTTGGCCTCTTCTCCTTCAAATTAATGTTCTGGGAAAAGGGGGTCAACAGCCACACAAAAAGTCATCTGACTGTCTCTTCGGGAGAGGAGCAAAGATCCCCGTGGCCCGCCTCTTGCAGAGGTCAGTTAAGGCCCAGGCCCGCCTGCGGGGGAGGGGCGCAAACTCGGCCTCTAGGGGCCTCAGGTAACAGGAAAGGAAGGAAGAGATTCCGTTGTCCAGGTGTGCCACAGCTCATTCTGCACACGCTCACACACACAAACTCTGATGCCCATTTTTTCTGAGACTTTAAAATATTTGTCCTGCATTCTTTCCTGATACAACTCTCAGGCCAGAGGCTTTGGTCATGTTTTAGTTTTGTTTTTTGGGTTTTTTTGTTTTTCTTTATCCTCACCCGAGGACCTTTTTCCATTTCTTGTTCAGATAGAGTGGGAAGGAGAGAGAGAGAGAAACATCGATGTGAAAGGGACACATCGAGTGGCTGCCACCCACAGGACCCATCCAGGGCCGGGGACAAACTGCAACCGAGGTACATGCCCTTAGCGGGAACGGAATCTGGGTCTCTCTGGACCGCAGGCTGACGTTCTAACCGCTGAGCCAAACCGGCCAGGGCATATTTTAGTTTTAAGCAGACTCTATTCCCATTCAAATATCTGCACTATTTTCAAGGTCTGAAGCCAAATCCCACTAGCTGTCCGATGCCTCGCCCTCTGAATATTTGTTATTTTCTGGATTCTTGAACACCAAAAGAAGTGATAACGAAGGAAAAGCAATACTACTTGGTACATATAATGAAAAAAATTTAAAACCACCAGTCAGTGGGTTCCTTAATGAAAAAAATATTTATCAGCCAAATACAAACTGCTTTTGCCAAATAGTCATTTCTTTAAAACCCACAACTGACAGTTTGACCAAACTGCTGGAGTGTGTGCCTGCTCAGAGTGTGAGCAGATGGAGGAGGGGCCATGGCCAACCTGGGGCGACCTTCAGGGCCAATGTCAGCCACCCGCAGCATCTGCAGACCTGAGGCGACCTTTAGGGCCAATGTCAGCCACCCGCAGCATCTGCAGACCTGGGGCGACATTTAGGGCCGATGTCAGCCACATGTAGCATCTGCAGACCTGGGGCGACCTTCAGGGCCGATGTCAGCCACCCGCAGCATCTGCAGACCTGGGGCGACCTTCAGGGCCGATGTCAGCCACCCGCAGCATCTGCAGACCTGGGGCGGTCTTTAGGGCCAATGTCAGCCACACGCAGCATCTGCAGACCTGGGGCGACATTTAGGGCTGATGTCAGCCACACGCAGCATCTGCAGATCTGGGGCGGCCTTCAGGGCCGATGTCAGCCACACGCAGCATCTGCAGACCTGGGGCGACCTTTAGGGCCGATGTCAGCCACCCGCAGCATCTGCAGACAGTGGAAGACAGCACTTCATGCCTCTTGATTCATGACTATCTGGAGATGCCCATAATGGGAGGCCCAGAAATTAACTTCTCAGGTAGTCTTAGACAACATGAAAAAGCATGCCATGTATCTTGTCTCCTTAATTCTACCTACCTGAAGATTTTCTACACTTGTCTGTGTGCAAAGAAGCAGACAAAAGTTTACATACAAGTTATGGCGTGCACACACGTGTACACACACACACAGTGCCATGAAGGACCAGATGGCCAGACTGCGTTCCGTGCAGCACCCCACTGTGACCCTCCAGCCAGCTGGTGCTCCAAGGAGCCCGTCTGATTCAGATGCAAACATCAGTGCGCCAGGCTGAGGTCACAGCGTCACCCAGGGCGTGACACGCGTGCACACTTGGGAAACCAGCAGTGTGGGGCGGCCGGGGGCGGGTCTGCTGCTCAGCAGGTCAACAGGGAAGAGGGAGGTTCACCCCCCAGTGTCAAGTCTGCTTCTTCCCCAGAGGCGTCCGCCAGGCTGGGAGCAGAGGAGCACCCAGACAAACTGACCGTCTTCTCAGCTCAGGCAGAGCCCGAGTGGTCCTGTGACGGCCAAGCCGGGGTTCTCCTCACACAGGACACAATCCACCCCCAGAACGGTTCAGACCGCCATTCCTAGCTGTGACCCCTCATCCTGCTTCCTGGATTCTAGTCTCACCTCCAAACCCTGAGAGTTCACAGCCCCCTCCCACCCGGCTCCCTACAGCACAGGGAAGGACATGAAGCCCCTGGGACTAAGCCATACCTGGATGGAGGCCCCAAACTTCTCGTTGCAGAGGCTGCACACCAGCGCCCACCGACTGCTGGGGATGTGAGAAACCTTCGTGATGGGCTCCATCTTCTCGGGGCTGCCGATGCTCACCTAGGGCCCGAGAAACAGCGAGAGTGTGGCCGAGGCCGTCAGACAGACCAAGGCTGAACACGGCGGCAGAAACCTCAAGCTCCTTGCTCTCCTGCCCCACCCACCAACAGCCAAGGGGCACATGGCCTCCCAGGATATTTTGCAGCATCAGGACAGCCCAGGGCACAGGTCGGGGGCAGTGGCAGGACAGCCCGTTGCCCAGGTCCTCTCCCTCCAGCTCCAAGTGTAGGGAGTCCTGTGATGCAGACACCCCGGTGTCTCAGAAGCGAGCCTTCACTTCTCACCCGAGTCTAACAGGTGACCTACTACAGTGCCAGGGGTCAGGACCAACAGTGGGTAGGTCAGCATGAACTGACCATAATGTCTGTCTCTTCACACGGGAAAGGTCACCACAGAGTGACAAACTCCCGAGACACATGAGCTCTCCTCAGCTGTTCATTCACAGCAAACCCTGAGATCCAGTGCTACCCAGACCCAAGGCTGCAGCTGCAACCAAATCGTCCCCAGATAATTTTCCTCGGGAGGGAACTGCCCCAAAATTCACACACCAAAAAAACGCTGAAATTTGAATCGCCAATTTGATCAGTGATATTCTCACAGTAAGCCACGCAAATGAAATCAGTCAAGGTCTGGGACTTGAACCAAATTAGACCAGACCTGAAATTGAAAAGGTTGAAGCTGAGGGAGAATTTCAACAAAAATCACAGAAACGTGACCCAGAGCAGTGGCTCCCTAACTGTGGCCGTGTCCCGTGGAAGGACCCGCGGCCAGGCCACAGCTGTGCAGCGGCAGGTTGCTCTGGGGGTGTCCCCTGGGAGGGCTGGCTGGGAGGGACTCTGGAGTTCAAACACCTCCCACCTGCTGCTGCTCCCCGTAACATCTGCAGATTCACACCCAGGGAGTCAGGGTGGGGGGATAACAGGTAGCACTTAAAAAGGTATCTGTTTCCTCAGCAGCTACAACCTGGCCTATGTATGGCCGGCTCCCCGCCCCCACCCCAGCTAAAAGCCAGGACCTCCTGGGCGGAGCTCCGGTAAGACCACACCCACCTCGGGGATCCACAGAGCACAGCTGACGTGGACCCACTTGGTCCCACTGCGGGTGGGCTTCATGGCTCCGCCTTTCTTGGGGCACAGCAAACACTTCGGCTGAACCCCCAGGGCACATGTCCGGCACAGCCAGCTGCCCTCGGGGACCTTGAGGATTCCGTAACAGGCCTGTCAAGCCACAGCGCCCCCCCAAGGAAAAGAGAAAGAAAAAAAAGGTTCATTTTTCCCATTTTATCTATTAATTTTAGAACACTAGAAAGATTTTAACAGAACAAGCAGCAAAACAGAGGCACTCCTGGGCCCCCCTCCAGGGGACGCTGACCCTCTCTGTCCCTTCGGGAAAAAGCCAGGTGGCGGGAGTGTCTGACACCTGTGGGCACCTGCAGGCCTGCTCCCCACAGCGTGGTTCCGAGCACTCCTGAGGACAGAAAGGTTTGCGGAGGACCTGTGCGCTGTGCGGCTGACACTCTACTGAGCCGTGAATCCTCAGGCACTGCTGGAGGGAGGGGAGAGGGTGCTCCCCCCGGCTTCCTGGTGTGGGCGGGAGTCAGAGAAAACAACAGAGCGACCAGGTCTCCCAAAGCTACTCAACGAGATGCCATTCAGTGGACACGACACACCCGCTAACCAGCACCCTCGTCCCCGGGCTGAGCAAGGCTACTGACCAGATCCCATCACTCTCCCAGATGCACCCAACAGGCCCAGAGAAAGGAGACTTTCTAGACAAAGAGGACTTGGCCTTTTTAGCTGACACTCAGAGCAAAGCCTGCTTTGCACAAGAGGCAAAATTACACAAGACAGCAAAACAGCAGAAACTGAGGCTCTCACAGCCGAAGACACTACGGTGGTTCAGGAGGAAAAGGCAAGTGCTAAACGAGGGGAGAAACGAAGCTGAGTGCACCAGGAGCACATTCAGAGCCTCCCGCACACACCACACTGCAGACCGCTATCCTCAGATGAACTGGAGGCAGGAAGTGGAGACACGCCGACCCGGCCCGGCTCCAGACAGGAAAGCAGCCCGGCACAGTCGGCGTGTGGGGACGCGGAAAAGAAACCACAGGGACGCGCAGCGGAGTGAGGAGCCCGGACGGGCCCGGGGCACCGTGTCAGGGCCATGAATGAGCCCCTGTCAACACGGCTGGCTGGGGAAAGATTTAAATACCGCTAAATGACACTATTACGGGTTCAAACACTGGAAGGTTTCTATCAGGCATTCTACAGAAAGTCACATTTGAAAAGATAATTTTTTTTTGTACTGGAAAAGCAAGTCTAAACAAAATTAAAAGATTAAATAAAATATGCCTTAAAGTCAAAGCCATGGAGAACATCTCCAAAGAAAAATGAGCCACAAGAAAATGAGACAACGTGGTTACGGCAGAAGAAACACGACCAGGCAGGGGGTCGTGGGGGCCGGGAGACCCCAAGTTCCAGTTCCAACCACCATAACCCCCCGTGTGGCCCTGAACAGCCCACCCTGGTATCAGTTAACTGACTTATACACAGGGGGTTTGAGTAGCTTCCAAACAGAACCAGTTTATCCAAACTGTTTTTTTCTCAGGAGAAAATAAGTAAAATAAAAAAAACACTGAAATGCCATCCAATTAACAGCACCAGCAACAGAAAGCAGCAATGGCCAGCACAGTGCGACCTCGACACAGCCAAACCAAACTGACTTATCCCGAGGTCGCCGAGCAACCTCCACGCAGGTCTCAGTTAGCCGTACACCTCAGCATCCACAGGTGGATTCAAAGGAAGTGTCTCAGGTAGCCTTTTAAATCCCGAGAGTGCATGTGAATGTGCGTCCCCCAGAAATCCAGGTTACTAAATTACTGCATTAAAAAATAAATAAAAGCCCAGGCCAGTTTGGCTCAGCGGTTAGAGCATCAGCCCATGAACCAAGGGATCTCAGGTTTGATCCCTGACCCCAGTCAGAGTCATAGGGGAGGCATCAATCAATGTGTCTCTTTCACATCAATGTCTGTTTCTCTCTCTCTTCCTTCCTCCCTCCCACCCTTCCACTCTATCAAAAAAAAAAAAAATCAATAGAAAAATATCCTTCAGTGAAGATTAACGGCAACTAAATAAATAAAACAGGTAAGAAAGACTGAAACTGCCCCAAGCTTTTTAAATTACTCAGTGTCCATTCTTACTGAAGCCCAAGGATTTACCTTTTCACAGAAGGTAGTGATCAACCACCAAATCCTATTGACATCAATCAGGGTGGACAAGAAATCAATTTCCAGAAAGGGACTCCTTCCTCCTAACAGCTCAGTTTATACGCTGACACGTTAGCAACTGTTACGGGTTAAACAGTATCCCAGAAGATGTTACAGTTGTAACCTCAGTACCTCGGAACGTGACCCTATTTGGAAACAGGGTCACTGCTGATGTAATCAGTCAAGATGAGGTCACACTGAGGTAGGGTGGGCCCCTCGTCCCATATGGCTGGCGTCCTTGTCAGGTGTGAAGACACCCACAGGAGGACAACACGTAACCAGAGCTGTGCGGCGACAAGTCCCGGAGCAAACACCCTGACGTGGGAGAGTCCGGGCAGTGGGCCCTGCCGGCACCGAGCTTTCAGACTTCGTCTCCAGAATTGCAAGACAAGCTTCTGTGCCTTTAAGCCACAGCCTGTGGCCCTTGGTCACGACAGTCCGAGGAAAGCCGTCCAGCTAACCACCCCTTGTCAAGGTGTTTCGTGTTTCTAGTACCTGAACTCCGGTGCTGACGCCAGACAGGGGGGCTCACGTATTCTTAGGCAAACCTAACTTCTGTGGGCAGGACTAAGAGCAGGTGAAGCCAGGAGAGTCCCATAAAGGATTGTTTTTCTGGTTATAAAAGTAGCAAGAAATACTTCAAAACACTGCAGGAGCCACTCAGGGACAGAAGGATGGTGTCCACTGGGGACAGCGGGAGAACGGCCGGTCTGGAGGGAGACCCCTGGCCTCTGGGCGCCCCGGTGGCAGGCGGGCTCAGGCCCCAGGGGCCTTTCTGGCCGTGCTGCCCACATACCTGGTGCACACAGATGTTGCACTTGTCGCAGAACACCATCTCATTGCCGTCCTCACCGTCAGGCGACTGGCAGACGTCACACACGACGTCTTCGTCGTACTCGATGCCCAGGCCCTCCTCCGTCTCTATGGCGTGGTTCATGTTGTCGTAGCATCGCTGCTCAAACTCCTCCAGCACCCGCTCCATGGTGTACTCGTCCAGCTCAGGCATTCCTGGGGGAGCCGCGCAAAACCCACTTTAATCAACCCACACCGACAGGAGCCATCAGGCAGTATCAGTTTGCTTATATACGTTATTTACACTGAATGCATAATGTTATAGGTAAATCCACCCTGAGTGCCCCACATTTTTCTATGGAATGCCCTCCAAGACTCTTTGGGGAAGGATGTCCGAGCTAAAAGGCAGCGTCTTTGTTGCCGTCCGTCCCTAAGGCCAGCCGTGGGACGTGCAGTGCCGTCCGTCCCTAAGGCCAGCCATGGGACGTGCAGTGCCATCCGTCCCTAAGGTCAGCCGTGGGACATGCAGTGCCATCCGTCCCTAAGGCCAGCCGTGGGAGGTGCAGTGCCGTCCGTCCCTAAGGCCAGCTGTGGGAGGTGCAGTGCCGTCCGTCCCTAGGGTCAGCCGTGGGACATGCAGTGTCATAAGTAGAAAAGCACAAGATCCCAAAAGGGATCAAGGGTGTTCAATGCACAAGCTGTCGATTGCAATTTCACTATAATATATGTTTCGCAGAAGAGACCTCGAGTCCATGACACCGTACCACGGTGTGGGTCTTTTCTGAATACTGTCCTTGTTGCTGCTCATACGCTGCTCTGCAAACAGACCCCCCGGGGAGCGAGAGCTAGCCAAGGGTCCCAGTCACCCCTCCTCACCATGACTGACTAGGCTAGTGGCGCAGGGCGTCAGACACCCGAAAGGCCAATTCAAGGAATGCCTGAAGCCGCCCTGGCCGGTTTGGCTCAGCGGTTAGAGCATCGGCCTGCGGTACAGAGAGACCCGGGTTCGGTTCCCGCTAAGGGCATGTACCTCGGTTGCAGTTTGTCCCCGGCCCTGGTTGGTCGTGCGGGTGGCAGCCACTCAATGTGTCCCTTCACATCGATGTTTCTCTCTCTCCCTTCCTCTCTCTCCCTCCCACTCTATCTGTACAAAAAATGGAAAAATATCCTCGGGTGAGGATAAAAAAAAAAAAAGGAATGCCTGAAGCCAAGGACACAATTCAGTGCATCGGATACAATGCGTTCTGGGGCAAGAATGATCAAAAATGCATTTCCAGTGGCTCCTGTGGTTCTAGCCAGTGGCGGGATGAGACTTCTATTTTCTTCCACTTGTAGATCTAGTCCAAACTTCCTACAATGAAAATACTCACGCAGAAAGAAGAAGCAGGCTGCAGAGCTGCTCAGACACAACACGTAAATGGCAGGAAACAGCAGAAATGCCGTTGGAGCCAAGAGAGGCTTTTGTGCATTACTGTACATTTAAAACCATCAAACTAACACTTCCGGGGTTTTTTTAAAACTTCAGAGCTGACACTGTGACAAGTCCTAAATGCATATTCACAAAAGCCACCATCGTCCGAAGCCTGTTTACCGATGCGGCCGTCTCGGCGTGGCCTGGCGTTCTCAGCCCAATTCCTCCTCCCGGTTTTGCAAACACCACTGGCTTTGAAAGTACAACCCTATGCCCTGTAATTAATTTTTACCAGTAAAAAGACCAATAAAAGCATGTGTTCAATTTATGTTACGCAACTACCCAGGAGCTGTTAGCCCAGGACTCATTCCTGAGCCACCCAGAAGGCTCCACTGTCTCTGGCTGTCCCCTGGGCCTTAGCGCAGGACACCTGGCCAGTCAGCACGTCACCTGGTCTTCACAAAGCTGCTGGAAAGTAGACTACAGTGGACGGAGCTGAAGCATAGCATTTACCTCCAAGAGAGCTCTAAAACTTCAGATTTTGTAAAACAACCCCCTCGCCTGCTAACCTCTGGCCACTAATACCTAAAAGCAAGGACCACGAGGAAGGTCCTGTTGTCTATCAAAATACCGATGTGCCCGCCAAGCCCGCGCTCGGCTCCCACGCCGCAGGCTGGGGCACTTGGCAATGCAGCAACAAGCACCCAGCGCGCGCCAGGCCCCGGGCTGGGCTCAGAGCGACACACAGCAAAGCCAGTCTCTGCCCTTCGGGGAGCTGAAATCTGCCAGACTTCGAACAGGCAGCCTGTGACGTTCCCCATCTGGGCAGCCGGCACAAATGCTAATGAGCCCTCAGTCTCTCACGGAGCCCAGACTAGACCTCAGGCGACCCTCAGCGATCAGAGTGAGGAGATGAGATCTGTGTGCCACCCTGGCTCCTGGGAGGGCAATGAGGGCGGGGCAGAGGCTCCGACCTCCTACAGAAAAGGAGAGGCTTGGAGAGACCCCGGGAAGGCAGAACTGTGGCTCCAGGCAGGACCTGCGGGAAGGAGTCGCTGCGGGGAAGCGCAGGTGCCGTCTGGGGCAGGGCCTGGTGAGAACAGACTGCGGCAGGAACCAGGGCCGAGCTGTGAGGCAGCCAGCCCCAGGACAAGAGTCGGTGCCCCTGTGGTGTGGGGACAGCCACGCGCTCTCTGGCTCCAGTCCCCTCGAGGTGTAAGATGGAGGCAGGGACAGAGGCAGGGACGGGACTCCTGCATCCACAGCCCTCGGTTCTGAGACCGACGCGCCACGCTGGCGCCGGGCACGGGAGCCTCTGCCGCTCGCCCGCGTGCCCAGACGCACCACCATCACTAGCCACTCAGCAGCAGGGCTCTCACCCATCTCCTTGAACTCCTCGTTGGTCAGCTCCAGCCACGCGGCGTCCATGTCATTGAGGTCATAGCGACACACGCTGTCGGCCAGCGTGCGGATGTCCACGTAGCCCAGCTCCGGAGGCTCGGAGCCCGAGGACACGATGTATTTCTTGGGCCTGATGAACATGAGGGATTTCTCCTCCGACACAACCCTAGTCAACAAGAAAACCAGGCAGCCAGGTCATCCTTCCTGCCACGGAAAGGAAGTCTGTCCAAAGGCCCCAGGGGCATCTCCACCTCCACCCGAAACCCAGGTCATCACAGCCTAACCAGCTTAAACCTAATGTCACTGCTAACAAAACTAGGTAGGAGCCCTCGAAGTACCCAGAATGGAAAGACATGCAAGTGAAAACACTGCAGAAGTCCTGAAAACCAGCTTCTTCCACTCAGCGGCCCAGGACACCCCGGGCCTGCACCGCCCGGGACAGCAGTTGCCGTGGCCACGGGCGTGTCCGGGGTGGCCCACTGACGCACCTCCCGGCAAGGGGAACTGCCCGCCCAGCTGCAGGCCAAGCGCCGGGCTCGCGAGCACACCGAGGGGTAACAGCAGCTAAGCAGGTGCGGGGACCACAGGGAGAGACCCACCCCCCTGACCTTAAAATGAAGCCAGGCCGTGGCCAGCCCTCAGCGGTCCCAGAAGGGAGTCTGAGCCCAGCTGGGGACTCTCCCCACACAGTCAGCACGAAAGACAGGGCTCCGGGTCCCCCCTCCTCCTTTCCCTTCTGCCCCAACCTACACCTGGAGAAGAGCTGTCCGAGCCGCCCGAGAGGACTGGACCCCCGACCCGGAGGGCGGGGCCCTGCACCCCACGCAGCCCTTCAGCAGTTCGCCTGAACACCAACAAGCTGTCCCAAGACCTCGCCAAAGTACCGTCAACACCGCTGTCATCGAGAGTGGTTTTATCTGCAGGACCCCGAGATGGGCAAACTGAACAGCCATCTCTCCTACTCAACCAGGGGCCGGCCTTCAGCAGAAAACACCCACACATCGTGTCAACACGGACTGCTTCTGTGCCGGCTCCCAAACGACATGAACAAACCTGTGAAACACTCCCAGCGGGGCTGAAAGCCGGTGTCCTGCCCCCGACGCACGGAGGCAAACACATCCGTCCTGAGAGCCAGACAGGCCCATGCAGAGGCCAGGAGTCCAGCCTACGGACGCCACCCGACTGGTCATCTAAACCTACACATCTACGTCAACATCTGTCCCAGAGACCCCAAAGGCAACATTCAAACTCGGTCAGCAAGTGCCTGACGACAGAGCAGGGGGCGGAGGGTCACAGCGAGGAGCCCGGGGCCAGCTGCGCACAGGGCCCCCACGCGCCTCCCCGGGAGGAGCCCAGGTCGGCGGGAGCTGGACGGAGAGGACAAGGGCAAACTGGCCACAGCTGCGCTGAGCCGAGTCGCTGAAGGCCCAGCCCTCCCGGGGCAAAGCGGTTGGTCAGCAAGCCCCAGACGAAGCCCCCGAGGAGAACTGGGCAAGGCCCGGCCACAGGAGAGCTCACCTGTAGGCTCCTCCCCTCATGCTCCCTTCCACACCCGAACCTGACCGCCCTGCACCCCTTCCTCCTCCAGAGGGGGAAGGGCCACCTCGGGACCCAAGAAGCCACCCTGCTGGTGCCCAACAAGGCCAGACCCTGCTGAGAGCTGCTCAAAGAGCCAGCGTGACGGGTGGGGCCGGCGCAGGCAAAGGGGCAGCCGGGGTGCAGACATCCAACACCGCCCCCCCCCAGTCCTCCAGGCCACGACCCCCTGGACTGAAGTGTGTGCCCATGTCCACGGGGCTCAGTGCTCCGGCACCTGGCGCCAGGGCACAAAGGCCCAGAGGGCGGGCAGGCGCAGCTCTGTCCTGGGGCACGCCTACCTGGCCACAGGCTGAGGGATGGTCCCAGGGCTCACGGGCACCTGGACCCCCTTCTCCCACTCCTGCCTCCAGGGGTCCGCCAGCACGTAGTACTCATCGGGGCTCAGCTGGTAGGAGTCGTGCAGCTTCATGGCGGTGATGAGGTCCGTCCTGAACACCTGGGAAGGGACAGCAGGGTCACCGACACTGGGTATTGGCTTTCTGATCCGGAGAGCTGACATGCAGGGTAGCCATGGAGCTCCCCTGTAACAAGGTCACTAGGTCACCAGAGAACCAGTCCGGCCTGTGACCGGAAACCCTGAACCTGCCGCACCCGGGGCGCTCGGGCCCCACGGCCACTCCGTGTCCACACAGCAGCCTCGGGGGCTCCCGGTGGAGCACGGCCGACCCCTGGGCCGGCTCGCTGGAGGGAGTGTTCCGCTCGGGGCCTGGTGGGCATGAGAAAGGAGCTCCCCCGACCCTGCAGCAACTTCACCCCCAGCCTCCCCTCTGCGCCCAGCCACAGCCCGCCCCGGGGCATGCGGGCAGCCAGCCAGGTCTCAGCGGGCCCTGCCAGGCCAAGTGCACACTGGGACGGGGGTGACGGGCCAACGCCCCGTCCGAGAGCAGGCCCCCAGCAGGCCCACCTCACACCTTTCCCCTCCTCCCTTCCACGAGGGGGGCCTCTCCTCACCCTGCCACACACGGGCCCACAAGACTAGAGGTACCCTCCCCAAGACAGCTCCTCAGTCCTGTGTCCCAGGCCCGAGGGGACACAGCAAAGGCATCCAGTACGCAGGCTCCCCTGCCCGGCGGGGGGGGGGGGGGGGGGGGGGGGGCGGCACGGTCTCCTCGTCCACTCCCGTCTCTGGGCGACAGAGGGAACCCTGACCCTGGCACCAGCGCCACCCCCCTCCACCTCCCCCCCCCCCGCCCCCGAGCGGTACTTGGCGGGGAAGAGCCTGCATCTGTGGGCCGCGCTCTGCTCAAACATGTCCCCATGCCGACCCGCTCTCCCCGAGGACAGGGAGTCCTTTCTCGTGCTGCTCAGCACAGTTCCCATTCTGTGCCGGCTCACAGGTCCGTGTTTGTTTTTCCTAGTGCCTTTCGGGCTGGTGATCACTGTAATAAACTCCCCAGAAGGGTCCGAGGCGTGTCTGAGCTCCCCCGCGTGCCCCTCACGCCCACGGCCCCGGGGCAGGTGGACGGTGTGCCCTCCCGTGAGGCAGCGACATCCTCACCGCGCTGGGCCCACAGGTGCCCGGCCAGGCCCCCGCCCCAAAGGACAAGTCCTTCAAAACCAAAGGCACAGGCCCACGTCTCCAGGAGAAAGTCTGACTTAAAAAACACACTCCAACTGTTTTATGAGTGAAAAAATCAGGAGTTTTCCAAAGAAGGAAAATCAAACTGAAGCAATGCAATGAGAAAAGGCACCCACCATTCCTTCACTCAGAGACTCGAACGGGGTGCTCAAGAGGCGAAACAGGTACCCGCAAAGGGACACAAGCACCCAAGTCCTTGGCAGAGTTCAACGTTAGCACTTTGAGTGTTAAGGTGTCTGAACTCAGAGCTAAAGTCAGAGAAATTTTAGAAAAAATTGGGAATAAAACATGGGTCAGGGACAAGGTGGCACCACGCTCAGTGCTCAGCCCTTCTCACACTGGTGCTGGGGGTCCAGGTGCCCTGGGGACACTGGTGTCCCCACCCCGCCTGCATTCCTGCCCTGAAATCACAGGACATCGTGTGAACGTCAGAGAGGCAGCGGGTCACGGGGGCAGCACAGGAAATTGGAGGAAAGAAAGAGCAGCAGGTGGACTGTGCCAGCCTCAGGGCCACCGGGAGGGAAGTGGGCAGAGCAGGTTCCACTGGTCGGAGCCTGGAATGCGCCGAGGCGAGGACGCAGCCACCTTCCCGTGACCTGCGAGCTGGCACGTAAGCGCCTCCTGGGAGGTGTCTGCAGCTCTACAGGACATGGACCAGTCAGCCCCTCTTGGAGGGACCCCCTCCACCCCAGAGCCCAGCACTCCCGTTTCAGTCAGAGAAGAAGTGCTGCAGGTGAGGCCGCAGGTGAGGCTGCAGGTGAGGCCGCAGGTGAGGCCGCAGGTGAGGCCACAGGTGAGGCTGCAGGTGAGGCCGCAGGTGAGGCTGCAGGTGAGGCCGCAGGTGAGGCTGCAGGTGAGGCCGCAGGTGAGGCCGCCCCACCAAGAGGCAGCACAAAACCCAGGGGCAGAACAGAACAGAGACTCGCCTACCACCTGCTCACTAGAAAGCTGGGGTGAACTCAACTCCCCTCGTCCATGATTTAAGTGCTCAGAGACCAGCGAAGGTTTTCAGAGAAAACATCTCAGGACTGGCAGGAGCCTCTAAATCAACAAAAGCCAGCAGAGAAATGCACCTAAAAACAATCTTAAATAGACTGACAGACAGCAGATGACAGACAGGTAGACGGATAACAAAATGGGGGAGCAGGGGAGACCTAAGATGAGAAACAAATTGGAAAAAGGGGGAAAAGCCTTAAGCATAATCCCCAAAACAAACTCCCAGAATCACATTGTTGTTGCCAAGTAAGCCACAGATTTATGGCTAAAACTAACTTGAGGCTGGCAGTGACCGGCAGCGGCCGCCCCGCTGATGTCCTGGCCAGAGGAAAGGTTGATGGGAGCCAGCAAAGAGGGAACAGAAAAGGAAAAGAAGAATGCAATTAATCATCGTAACAGCTGACAGTCGATGAGCACTTTTTTACATGCTTCGTATGTACTGACCTCTGCATTGACCCCTAATCCTCACAAGAGCCCTGAGGTGGACACCAGTGTCACCCCCTCTTACAGAGATGGAGACGGAGGCACAGAAAGGTGGGCAGCCGACAGACATGGGCGCGGCCGCAGGGGTGAGGCTCCACATCCCCCTGCACGCGTCGGCCTGCACACGTCCCCCTGCACGTCCGCCTGCACGCGTCCCCCTGCACGCGTCCCCCTGCACGCGTCCCCCTGCACGCGTCCCCCTGCAGCTGCGCCAGCGTCGGGAAGTACCTCGGAAGGCTTCTGATCTTCGTGCCGGGAGCAGGAACTCCTCCTGTGCTGGGACCGGGAATTCTGAGACCAAGTAGTCGACAGGCCTGGAGACACAAATGTGCAGAGGAAGGGTTAAGAGTGCAGAAACCGCTGATGTTCAGAGGGCTTCAAACCAAACAGCGAGGCTCACCCCCCCTCCACCCCAGACGCCGGGCCGGCTCCCGGGCAGACGCGCTCGGTGCCGGCGCTCACCCTGGGGCTCGGCCACTGGCCTGCGCGTCCCAAGTCAAGAGGGTCCAAGTCTCCCACTGCCAAATGCAAACTGAAAACAACTCACTGCGTTTTTCGTAAACTGTTAACGCTAAGATGTTCGTGCTAAATCTGAAGGCCAACCTCGGAACTTAACAGAAAAAGGTGTTCACTCCACAAAGGATGGAAACAGGGTTCCGCAGAACAGAGGCTCCCTCGCAGAGCAGAGGGGGCCGCGGCAGCAGCCTCCCAGGAGGTTCTTTCCAGTGTCCCCGCTCTGCGCCTCCGCTCACTCAGGCCCAGGTCCTGACCTGCACCCCACACTTGCCTCCCTCCCCCGCCCAGGTGTCCCTTCACCTCAGATGAAGACATCAGCCCAAGCTCCTCAGAGCCATCAACTTGGCGCTACAGGCTGGGCCCAGCCTCTCACCCAAACCTGTTCTCCCCGTCCCAGCCCCAGGCTGACGACGGCCGCTCCTACCTGACGGCCGCTCCTACCTGACGTCAGAATCCGACAGGCACCCTCCTCCCCTCACCCAGGGCCTGGCCAACCAGCGGCCGAGCTGGATCGACTCAATGCCAACACCGACGCCCCGTCCGTGGGCAGGGATACTGGCAGCGGCTCCTGTCTTCGGGTGCCCCACGGCGCCCTCACAGCCACCAGCAGCATGTGTCTCGCCTGCACCCTGAACACATACCTACCATGTCCCAGAAATCAACACCCCCCCAAAGCCAAAGCCGGAGGGAACTGCCGTTCCACCCAAAAATCACCTGCCCCTCCAACAGGAAGCTCTTGTCTACAGACGCCAGACACAAAGGACACAGAACCAAAGAGCCCTTAAGACCTTGGGGACACTCCGAGAGAAGGGGCACGTAAGCCTATTGTCGGATTTGTGATTTCCGACGGCGGAGACTCCCACGCACGGCCTGAGGCCACCAGTCCGAGGCCGGTGCACGGGTCCACGGTGTGCAGCTGTCGGCCGGCGAACCGGACTTCCTCCAGGGGCCCGCATGGCGCTCAGGAGAGCATTCTGGAAAACGCTTGTTAGAAACTAGTGTGTCCCTTAGAGGCCAAGAGAGCAAGAAGGGTCCACTGCCCACTGAGAGAGACGTCCTGGGACACCGGGGGGACCCAGCTCACAGAAGCTCTACGTCTCGTCATCACTGCAGGAAGGAAAGAGAGTGGCCAGTTAGGAGCCTGGAGGGGGAGGCGCTGGGCAGCTCAGGCCTTTCGGTCCCTTAGAAACTAGGCTGCTCCTCTGTCCTCGGAAAGCGGGTGTCTGCACCCCAGTTACTTTTAAAGACACAGAGCTGAAGATGCTACCGATCTGGCATCTGATGGTATTATTACTGAAGAAAAACACTGGTCCCCACAGAAACAGTCTGTCCCTCTTTTCACGGTGTAATGCACAAGGAGGCAAAATTAATCCTATTAAACCCATTTGCAGAAAGAAAGGTGGGGGGCTAGGTTTAAATCATCACTAACATGAGAAATAGTCTTAAACAAACTGCTGTATCCATACAGCGGAACACTGCCCCACGCAGAGGAACAACAGGTTTCCGATGCAGGCTGTGCGGACGGTGCTGGAGGGAAGCAGACAGACAAACAGCACGCAGTGTATTAGTCCACTTACAGAAAACTCTGAAAAGCATAAACTCATCTACAGCAACAAAGTGGATCCGTTGTTGCCGGGGAAAGGTGGGGGAGAAGAATCACCTTCAGTTTTATGGCTGCATGGCTGTAAACATGTCAGAATGTATCAAAGGAAACATTTTTAATGTGCGCAGACGATAACTGATGATGTTCTATCATCCGGTAACAACAAAGAAAAAGAAAATGCTCCATTTACTTTACACAGGTGGTTTTGCATGAAGCCTCGGCTTGGCGGCCCAGCCAGGTGGGAAGGTGGGACAGGGGACCAACAGACCCTTTCACATCCAGCAGCAGGTGTGGCAGCAGGTATCTGTTGCTGGTGATCTCTTCCTCCTGATCTACTTGCTGTCTCAAAAACCACGTCAAGAGAGAGCCACGAGTACAAGACACGGAGACACAGAGGACTACTGACAATGCACAGTATACAGAACCCAGTGCTGTGCACACAGCAGATCCTCGAAAAATGTTTTTAAAAGTGGACAAGAACGTAGTGTTGTTCAGGACAGTCATGCTCAACGAGAACAGCCCTGTAACTCCAGGACTGAAGGCAGCAGGCACCAAGAACGTACTCCTGGTTTGCCTAGTAGAAGCTAGGACTGAGCCCTGGCCAGTGTGGCTCAGTGGTTAGAGCACCAGCCCTCGCACCTGAGGGCTGTGGGTTCCCATTCAAGGGCACGTGCCTGGGTGGCAGGTACGGTCCCCAGCCCCGGTCAGGGTGCATGGGGGAGGCAACTAATCGATGTGTCTCTCTCACATCGAAGTTTCTCTCTCTCTCTCTCTCTCTCTCTCCCACCCTCCCTGCAAATCAATGGAAAAAATATCCTCATGTGAGGATTAACAAAAAAAGAAGATACACTTGAGCCCAAGGAAATAAAGCAACGATGCACTTAAAGACAGACAGGTAGGTCCACAGCCTCTGCCCAGAATGCACCTCCGTCCACACCTCCCCTCAAAGTCCAGTGAGACTCGAGCAAGGGTCCGGACACTCCTGGCCCTGTCTTCCTCTCTCAGAGGCTTCTCCGATGGTCAAGAAGCTCCCAACCCTATGAGCCAAACAAATTCAAAAAAAAAAAAAAAAAGGCTATGCGATGTTGGGTAGAAAAACAATTACGCAGCCAGAAATGAGAGTATTTGAAACCCCGAAAGAACTGGGAGCCAGAGACTTATCTACGCGCAACACCCGCCTCTGGCTGGTTGAGACTGGAGGTGGCGCTGGGCGGGGCTGCCGTCTGGGTCTGTGTTCAGTGTCGACACTTGATGGCAAGCTACAAGGAGAATGTGACAAGTAAAATTTTGTTTATTTTCTTTTTGTTTTCAGGAGAGCAGCTAGTAACTCTAATTTGGTGGTGATGTGTGTAATTATTTTATTGATCACACACAAGACGGTATCTAAAGATAAGTCCACTCTAGTGACAAATTTAAGCAACTTTAAAAATTCTTAAGCTATTTGAGTACCAACAATTGTATATTAAATACTGAAAAGAATGAATAAAAAAATGTCTTGTTCTGTTTGCATACCCCCAGCTCCCATTAAAGTCACAAAGGCTCGGGTCCTGTGTGTTCGGCCTTCTGGGCCCTGGTTCCTGGCCCTATTATGCAGATACCTGCTACACGCTCTTTGAAATGTTAAAAATAGCCACACTGCGCTGCCCTGGATCTAAAATAAGGGAAAACCTCAAGAGTAAATCTAATACGCGTTGCACACGCCTCCCACACGCGGCAGCGCACGGAAGGCTCAGAAGTCAGCAGGAACGGCGGCCTGGTGCTCACACCACCACAAAACACAAAGGACAGGAGAACCTCGCCTCGGACCAAGTGGCCTCTCCTGTCTCAGACCTGCTCTGGCACGGACACGCCGGCTGCCCCACGGTGCCCGACCGGCTTCGCCAAGGCAGACGCGGAGGTCCAGCGAGCATGGGGTCCAGCAGCCGGCCAGCATCCCCGCCAGGCAGCCCGGGGATGCGCCCGCCGGGTGTCCCTTCGAGGGCAGGCTGGACCTGTGCGAGCGAGCAGGGCCGTGGGAGCTCCGTCAGGAAGTGGGCGCCGCCTGGCGTTACCGGCTGCTGGCGTCCACGGCATGACCAGTGACTCCAGGACACAACTGCCACCTCCATCAGCGGCTGACCCCCCCTCCCCCAGCTCTTCCCCCGCAGCAGAGCTCAGCTCCGTGGTCCAACTTCCACAAACAGACGCACACTTCATACATGCGAAGAACTGGCCCAGGAACGTCCTCACGTCCTCAACTACACTGGGACCTTCAACCAACTGACACCCTCGGGTCACAGCCACCACCCCGCACCCCGGCCAAGGTCCAAGTCCAAGGACCACAGAAGTTAGTCGTGCACAGGGCCTGGTTGGGCCAGCGGCTCCTAGAGCCCACGTTGCTGCCCTTTTCTGTGCGCTGGAGAGAGCCCAGCAAAACCGAGTCCCCACGTAACTCCATGTTTGCCCTCAACCTGCATCGCCAGGTGCCAGTGAGGAGGCCTGAACTTGACTGCGCCCCTTCCCTGCCCATCGTTATGGGTGGAGCCGAGCTGAATTCACAGGGGTGAGCCTGGGCCAGCACAGGCGAGGACCCTGGGAAGCCAGGGAGCCCCCCCCACCCCCCGGGCCTGGCTCCACAGCCCAGCCACAGCCCAGCTTCCCCCAGGGAGGCCGACACAGCCGAGTCCACCGCAGGACATTGGGCAGGAGAAAGAAGCTTTGCTTCACAACTTGAGGAAGAGCTGTTCAGTTATCAGCACACTTCTCTCTGCGGAAAGTAAAAGAACCGATTTCCCTCTGGGTCTTTGAGAGGCACATTTTAAAACCAAAAAAACTAAAAACACCACTTACATTGGCTCCCTTTCCTAGTCAAAGCCCCCATGTATTTTTTTAAAAAACTGCCCAATGAACAGTATATTACATACTATTATTTAATTTTTATCTTACTTTTGTAGAAAAATATATAAGGGTGCTGATCAGAGCTGTCAATTGGCCTGAGATAACCGATAATACACAATTCTTGCCAAAAGCAAGAACACTTGATGTCTGAATGAGCCTCTGCAGCTTTGTTACAGATAAAATGAAATCTTCAGGTTTGGGAAATGCTGGGAATAGCTGGTGGGCCCCATCTGCACGTTTTCAGAAACCCCTAAGGACGGAGGACCCTGGGCAGGGAAGCAGGAAATGAAGGCCTGTTTCCCTGGCCACACCCTGGCACAATGTGTGACTCCAGAGGACTGGCTGGGCCACCCGTCCCAGGAGCCCAGCAATTACAGACTGCAAACACCCCATCGCTACCCCATCCCAGGGCAGGGCCGGCCCTCCAGGGCACCTGGAGGAAGGCCCCGCGGCCCCCCCGCAGCTGGAGGAGGGCCCGCTCTGGCACAGAAAACCCCGGCCCACCCCACTGTAAAGACCACACTGCCGTTCCCTGGACCCGGCCAGAGACAAAGCAAAGGGCTCCAGTCCGAGGCCAGCAGGCGAGGCGTGGCCGCGGCTGGTGCTGTGGCCCCACGCTGACGTCGGCAGCCCCCCCTCCACTTGGACACGCTCTGCACTGGGCTGGAGCTGCTGCCAAAATTCTGTCAGGGCTGCAGGCTGGAGAGGCTGGGGAGCGGCCACTGCAGACCCAGCCTTCTCGCAAGCAGGGCTTTCCAAGTGCCAGGCGGGCTGAGGGAAGCTCAGTCCTGGGACCTGACGGGGGCAGAAGAAAGCACCCCACTCCACAAACAGACGGACGGCTCCAGTGCCGTGAGCTGATGAAGTACCCGCCCCCCAAGAAAGTGGAATGGGGTGGTTCCGTGGGCAACATGTGCGCACTTTATAAGGCTGGGCATTCTGGGTTCTCACCCCAACCACCATCCATCACAGTGGCCACATGCTAGGCCTGGACAGACAGCACGGCCGCCAGGCATGAACACGCGCTTTCTACCCAACCGGCTGCGTGACTAAGGACAGCCTGCCCGCTGTCTGCTGGCCACTACCGTCCAGTCCACGTTAGTCTGGGCTAGGCGAGAACCCAGCCTGGCCGTCTCTCTAGTTCACCCAAGTACCCTATAAATACTGACCTGCGTCCTCTGCCCCCACATGGACCTGAGCGTATTAGAAGGAAGACGAAGAAAACAACCCACCACCAGAAAGGTGACTTGTGATGGACACACTTTTAGTGGGGTCTTTGGCCACTCTCTTCCTCCTTCATTTTTTTTTTTTTTATCCTCACCCGAGGACATTTTTCCATTTTCTGTACAGATAGAGTGGGAGGGAGGGAGAGGAAGAGAGAGAGAGAGAAACATCGACGTGAAAGGGACACATCGAGTGGCTGCCACCCGCACGACCAACCAGGCCGGGGACAAACTGCAACTGAGGTACGTGCCCTTAGCGGGAACCGAACCCGGGTCTCTCTGGACCACAGGCCGACGCTCCAACCGCTGAGCCAAACCGGCCAGGGCTCCTCCTTCATTTTTAACCAGAGTTTGGGAAGATGTGTGTGTGGGGGGGGGCTTGTTTAGATGAAGCATTTGGTCTACTGTGGCTGTTAGGGGCTGAATTGTGTCCCCCAAAATTATTATCTGGAATTCAGACGCCCCAGAATGGCTGTATTTGGAGACAGGGCCTTTAAAGGAGGCCTTCTGTGGGCCCTGGTCCAGTCTCACAGCGTCCTCCTGGGGAGGCGCAGACGCAGGAGAGCGTCCGCACGGACGACTGAGTGAGGACAGGGCAAGGAGACTCCATCCACAGCCGAGAGAGGCCTCAGAGAGAAAGCAGACCTGTCAACAGCCTGGCCCGGGACTTCTAGCCTCCGGAGCCACGAGAAAGCAAGTGCGTGGTGTTTGAGCCACCTGGTCTGTGGTGCCCGCTGCGCTGAGCTGCCAGCACAGGGGCCCCGGGGCTGCGGGGCGCCTCTGGACAGCTGAGGAGGGACGGGGCCCGATCCAGGACCGCACTGTCCAATACGGCCATCACGAGCCACACGTGGCTTTTTAGATTTTAACTAATTGAAACTACATATAATTTTAAAATCCACTTCCTCAGTTACACTAATCAGAACATGTCCATCCTACTGGGCAGCTCGCGTCAGAAGGGAAGGCTCTAAGTCTGGGTGGTACAGAACCTTTTGAACCCGACTCGCCCAGAGTGAGCACAAACCTGCTGCCCAGTGCCAACACGACACTGAAGCAGGGCTCTTGGCCATTTACCGGGCACGGCAGCGTGCGGACAGCGTTCGTGAAGCCTTCATTCTCTGTACCCAACGAGCAAGATGTCTGAAACTGCTGTAGGACTAAACTGTCAAGTGCGTACTGCGAGCCTGCAAGTCCTCAGGACACTCGACGGGCAACAGAGGCAGGAAAAGTACCTCGGTGTGTTCTTGCCCCCAGCCTTCTCTCCGGAGCCCCACTCCTGTCTGTCTCCCTCTCCCCTGACTCACAAACAGCAGCGCCCCCCCCCCCCGAAGGCCCCAGAAGTCCCAGTCCCTCTGCTGCTCCAATCTGGTCACAGCTTACCTCACACCTACCCTCTCCTGCGGCCCCCAAGTCCACTTCCCACTGCTCCACGCCTGGACCAAAGCGCCAACCAACCATGTGCAAGTTCGGTCTTCACGTCCCTGGTCCCCTCCCTCCTGTGCTCCCTGTGGCCAGTGTGGCCACCCAAGGCAGCCTTGCTTTCTAATTTTCAGCTTTTAATCTACTGAAAACTGGGAGACCAGAGAACCAAAACAATCCTGTTTGCCTAAAAACGATTCCGTCGCCCTGGACCTGCCCAACGTCCCTCTCTTCCCGCCCTCCACTCCTCGACTCTGCCTGCACCCACTGTTTGCACGGGCCCCAAGAACGTCTCCATCTGGGCCGAGACTCGCCCAGAGCTGGAGCCTGTGCATCCAACCGCGTTCCCCGCAAGCCGGCCACTGCCTCTGCCATCACACAGTAGAGCAAGCACCGAGGCCCCCACGTTCATCTCTGCTGTAAAAGTGCGTGACGGGCTGGCGCCAGGCACAGAACTCCCGTTATGGGGGGGGGGGGGGCTCTCCGAGTGCTCTGCTCGCTTCTCAATACAGAAGCTGTGTGGCATTTATTTTGAGTGCCTGGAAGCCAGCTAACTTCTGGTTCTCAGCTGCACCGTGAACACGAGGATGCCAGCGAGCCGAGATGCAGGCAGCAGTCGTATTGAACACATCACGGGAAATCCAGGGAGCGCCGACTCGCCACCTCCGGCCAACCTGCACTGAGCACGTTCACACCCCTCCAGGCAGTCCTCAGTCTCCTTTGTATCGGCTTCAACTAGTGAATAATTAACTGCCTTCGATTAAGTTCCCTTCTCATAAAGAGCGACTGTGAAGTGCCGTCAGTGATGTTTGGGCAAAACAGACACGCCGGTGCCTCTCGGAACTGGGTTCTTCGTCCCTGGTAACAAACGGGGAGCCGGAGGAGGGCCCGGGTGCAGCCGCCTCTCCGGAGGGATGAGACTGCGACCTGCAGCCCCCTCCGAGGTGCTCTCCGGCACGGCGGTCCCCGACCTGCCTGCCAGGCAAAGGGCCTCGCTATTTAAAGCGCTGCATTAAAAAATCATGTTTCTCCACTGGCCCGAACCCTGGTGGGCTCCAAGAACAACAAAGCAGGACTCACTGCCATTGTCGTCAGAATCCTCACTGCTGCTGGGAAGACGACCTCGTTTCATGATCTCCCTGGGAAACAGCAGGCAGCCTGCAAAGCAATGAGACAGCACTTAACCCAGGATGATAATACACAGTCATCAAGTTGTGCTTCAGAAGACAGCCAGGATTTACAACACAAACGCAAACAGTCGGCTTTAAGCAGCATTTGGTAAACAGCGAAAAGCCCAAAGATACATCATTAGGTGTGATCATTAATAGAGCAGGTTCAAAACCGAGGGGGAGGGGCGGAGAGGTGCCAGGTTCCTCCCTCATTCCCGTGACATTATCACAACTCCTCCAGGAGTCTCTTCAGTGGATGGTCGCAAGCGCTGCAGGAAAAACCCAGGCAAGGGCCACGGTGCTTCCTCTGCACACAGGTTCCTGTCTTACAAAGAGGGGAGGTGTGCCTGAACGTGTGAATATTTACACTGCACTGGGCACGGTTATGCTTCTCAGGCAAATTTCCCCGAGAGTCCTAAAAGCCGAATAACCTAGATTCCAGGAACAAGACAAATGGGGCGGCGGGACTGCCGAGACCTCCGGTCACCGTCTCCAACCCCAGCAATTCCCAGCTGGCACCAGAGGGACCAGGAAGCAGGTTCTGACACAACCCCTCCCCTTTACACATCAGGAAACCGAGCCCAAAAGGTCGCACTGGGCACGGGGAGCTTCCCATCCGAGTCCAACCCTGGCACCACCTCAGCTCCTTCCAGGACTCTCCGGAGTCCCGCCTGAGGCAGCAAACTAAGAAGTCAGGTGCCCGCCTAGCCAGCTCCGCTGGGGCAGCTGGTGGTAACCGGCCACCAGCCACACCAAGGAAGAGAAAGGCTGCATGAAGGGAAGGGGGAGTGGATGAGCCTGAATGGCTCGTCGCTGAGCTTAGAAAAGTGGACTCAGGAATATCTGCCCAGGGCAGCTCTCCAAACAAATCCAAAACAGCTTTCCCAAACTACCATTGTTGACCATTTGACCCATCTTCAGGGCCCTGATCTTACTGCCGATCAGTGATTTGCAGGGAAGGAGGAGGGCTTTTTCTAGTCAAAAGTACCCACCACCCCAGCCTCAGAACGCAGTGTGTCCAGGAGGGTGAACTCGGGAGGGTGTGGAGAACCACTGGACGAGGACAGGGCCCAAGCTACAAACCCAGAGCCCTTCTCTACACGGGCCCAGAAAACAAGCAGAAACGCATCCAGTGACGGTCTGTTCCTACCTGCAAAGCAGACGCATGAATTCACCCAAATATGCAGGCCCCTACTCTCTAATTCCAATATTTTATATTTTCCTTTGAGACACTTACCCAGTTAAGGTTTGTATTTCTTTGCCAATTGATTCTTCAGAAAACATTACAATAATTTATGAAGGCAGGACATGAGTCCTGATCCGGGTCATGACCTGTCTTACAGGCTAAGGTTTCATCCTGTGGGGCAGGATGAGTCCTACACACCCCCACCTTCTACAGAGCCCCATTCACCCATAACTAGTACCAGCTGCCTGCACCTTGTTCTGGGGCAGGCTCACCGCAGCTCAGTCACCACCCAAAATGCTCATCTTCCAGCCCTGTCACCGTGTACACCAATGCTCAGTGACACGCTCCTCCAACCTCCCAGAGAAGACACCCTGCTCCCCTCCGGACCCACCAGGAGAAAGGGGAGCGAGGAGGAACACCCATTCCAAGGGCTGCAGCTCCCACAGCCTGGTTACAAGCAAGTTTAAAAAAAACCAAACAAACAAACAAACTAGAAAGTGCTACCAAAAGAGGAATTCCTTAAAGTAACAGTGTGATGCCACTGGGCACAGCAGGAGACATGCAGCTCCCACCTCCTGGGGGGGGGGTGAGAACTGTGGGGAGGCTGAGAAGGCCCCTAAGGCACTCCCCGGCTACCAGCAGGAAAACAGAGGCTGATGACACCTCTTCATTGGACAACTTAAATGTACCTAAACAGAAGAGCCTGGAGAATGAAGACTCTGCACCAGAAGGCCTTCCTCCTGGCTCTCAGACACACTCACTTCGACAGCTGCTCCCTGAATGAGTGATGGGCGCCCTGACCCAAGTGCAACGATGCTCCTCCCCCCAAACACACAAACACGCAAATGTATGCAAGAAGAGTAAACACAGGATCTTCCTTCTAGGAATCGCATTTCCATCCATCCTGAGCGCCTGCGTGACGGCGGAGACTGTGCTGTGCTTCTGCAGGGCACCTGGACGGCGGGAATGGGCGAGGGTTCAGCACGGTTTCCTCCTCAGTGGCTCTGATGTACTTAAACCCTGACATCAGACTGCTTTATCTCACCTGGGGTTACTCACTGTATCAAGAAATCAAAGTACGTGCTACTATCTTCAGGAAACACAACTCAGGGGTTGAACGCTGCGAACATCTGTGCAATAACAGCCAGTGCGAGAACGCGGAAGCCCCTGCATCACCTCCTCGGCGGGCTCCTAGGGCAACGGCTGACTGTTGTCCAGATGGCAGCAGGATGAGTAATAATCACTCACAAAGGCTACTCTTCACACTCCCAAGATGGCAGCCAGGACATGGCCACAAGCACGGGAATACCTAACCTGCTCGGAGGCACGAGAGAAGAGTGACCGTCCCTGACCTCGGGCAGCCTCTGGTCCAGCTGAGCAGACAGACAAGTCGGGAGGAGCTCGGTATGGCTCCTGCCTGGCAGCGGTCAACACAGACCAGGTGGGAACAGAGGCCGACGGAGTCAGGGAAGGAGTCTGAGCAAAGTCCTGAGCACAAAGGGAAGGGAGCCAGAAGACAGAGCACGACGTTTTGGGCGAAGCACCATACTATTTAACGTGTACCTAACCTAGCATATTACTTACTCTGAGCAGCCTCTTTGCACTCAGAACCTTTCTATCTGCTCATTTCTTTCCTGACACACATCCCTTCTTACCCGATGCCCAACTGCTGGGGACTATCGATTCACAACACGAGCCCTTCAAGGCCGCTGCCGCACAGGTCTGCCATCACCCACTTTACCCACACGGCTTGGAGCACCACACTTCCGTGCTCCGTGTCCAGTTTCTTACCCTTCCCCATTCGTTACTACAACAAAGTAATCCTCCCCATGCGGTGGCCTCATCAAGCCATTCCCTAACGAATCTCTCCCGCTCTGTCCCACAATCAAACAGGTCCAGCCAGCACCCAGAGCTTCCCTGCCACCTGGCCCTTCAGCTCTGCCCAAGCATCTCTCCCCACATGACCAGCCCTCCCCCTGTTCTCAGCCTCCACGAGGAGCCTCCTCTGCCCTTTCCTCCACGCCTCTCGATGCAGAGCGGGACCTGCCAAGACAGCAGGCAGGTGCGGCGGCTGCTCACACCCCCTCAGAAGCAGGCTCTTCCCAACGGCACTGGCCCGAGTCCCTGTTTATATTACATGCAGGTCCCTCTCCTTCAGTCTCTCCTGTTATGTGGCTAATGTATCGATCCAACGACACTTGCAGAGTTGGATGCCAGAGGTACGGTGAGCAGCAAGCACACAACTAGGCAGGCGGTTCCAGTGTGGCCGCTGCTCCAGAGGGTACAGGTTCCCGTCCATGCACACGGGACATGTACATGGGATAAGGTACCTGGCAACCTCGAAATTTAAGTTTCCTTGGACTGAAATGCCAGGGCACAGGGGGTGACATGCACCAAGTTAAGAGCAGCCATTAGCTGAAGGAACCCCTCCCCCTAAGGTGGCTCAGGAATTCGCAAAGGACACGTTGGGTGCCAGGGCGTGGCCCCAGGGAGGCAGGAATGGTACGTGATTCGAAGAATGAGAAACGACCTCAAGGACAAGGGCTTTCACAAAAGAGTAAGATGATTAAGAATCGGAGGATATTTATTCAACACCATTCCTGGGAAAGAGGGACCCATTTGAGGAAAACAAACTGTCCAGTTACCAGAATTAGTCTCTGTGGTGGAACAGGGACCACTCATCCAGCCATAAACTCTACAGCTGTAATAAGAATTATACCCTAGTGATTTTAATTATCTTATGGCTCATACACCCAAAGGCTGGCTTCCTCCTCAAAACATCAATTTTATCCATTCTTATTTATTTCACTCTCAAGAAGTTCTAGAAGGTACTGAATTCAAGACCTCTACACAGTTCTCCTGGACGTACCTCTAGTGCAGGGCTGGCGTTGCAGTCACCGTGGGATGAATGACCGAGCTCCCGCACGTAAACCGTCTGATGCTCACTTGGCTTTACAGAATGAGCAGCTCTCACTTTAACATCTAATTGACCTTCAACTGGAGGAACTTCCACTACATTATTTTTAAATTCATTGGTATCCTTCCATTCTTTGTGAAAGTTAATCTAACACCTAAATGCAGTGTACTTAAAAATGGATTTAGACAACGTATGATATAAAAATGCTAAAGAATGTGTTTTCAGACACCGAGGGGTCTTACATAAAACATATTTTGTAATGAACTACTACTTTCTGTTTCTTTGCTAAGTTCACATACTTTGAATATTATTTTTAAACACTATGTAATTGATCATTTGATTCCTAAGTTACTGATCACAGACTACCCACCCCCAATGAAAAAAAGATTTACATTTTTGTTACAGGTCACCTTCTTGTCCCCTATGAGTATACATTACCCAATGTAGCAAAGTACCCAGATATAATGACCTACTCTTCACAATAATTTCCTGGCCCTAAGTGAACGTGAAGGAAATCCACCTGTTTCTTACCTCAGTTTTTGTTTGTTTGTTGTTAATCCTCGAGGATATTTTTTATTCCATTGATTTTTAGACAGAGTGGAAGGGAGAGAGAGAGAGAGAGAAACACTGATGTGAGAGAGACATCACTGGTTGCCCTCTACAAGACCCAGACTGGGGCAAGGAATCGAACCTGCGACCCTTCAGTCTGCAGGTCGACACGCTAACGGCTGAGCCAAACCAGCCTAGGCTTACCTCAATTTTTAAAGCAAACACTAACTGCCTAGATAGAAAGTTTTCAAATTGGCAACATTAACTAATTCACATGCTCCCAGAGAGTCTAAAAATACTAATATGACTATAATTCAAACCCAGATTTCTCACTTTAATCAAAGGGTTATATTTGGTCAAAAAGAAAGTCAT